TCAGAACAATCTACCCAGAAATCAAAAGATTCACCTACAGAAAAAGAAATAGATCACAACATATAACAAGCTCAACAATAGATTATTTTCTAGTATCCGAAACCCTTGGAGGAGCAATTCATAGTGTAGGAATAGGCAAACTCCCTTACAATAACGGGCTAGATCACAATCCAATCTTCATCAAGCTACTCTTCGACCCAGGAGCACAGAAAGGTCCTAGCTTTTTCAAGATTAATAACTTCATTTTGGACACTCCACAAATGAAAGAAGCAATAGCCATAGCATGCATAGACTCAGAAAAGGAAGGAGCTGACTTTCCGAGCACAATAGCCAACTTATCCAAAGCAGCCTCCATAGCATCAAGAAAATTGTCAGCCAAAAGAAACAAATGCATACAGGAGTTAGAAGCAGCAGTCCAGGTAGCAGAAAAGTTCCTCATCCATAATCCAGGTCAGATTTCATATGAAGACTCACTAGCTAAAGCAAGAGCAGAACTGGGCGCCTGGAACTCATGGAAAGCAAGGGGAATGAGACTAAGAGCAAGGGTCAAAGAGTGGGAGGAAGGTTAAAAAATGACGAAGTTTTTTTCCCAAAAAATCAGAGCAAGAGGAAGAAACTCTGTCATCCACCAACTGAGAGGAGAAAAAGGACTCACTTCAAATCCAAAGAAAATGCTAGCAATAGCAGAATCCTTTTATAAAAACCTATACACCTCTTAAACAGAACATCCCACTCCGGGACAAGTGGCACAAGCAAGAGAAAAATTTTGTAAACACTTGGCCAAAACAATCCCCACAACACTAGCAGAAGAACTGGATGCACCCATTACAAATGACGAAATTAAAAGAGCCTTGAACTCAATGAAATCAGGGAAGACCCCGGGACAAGACGGCCTGTCAAAAGACTTTTGGCAAAAATATTGGGAACTCTTGGGGGACGAGTACTGTAGGTTTATAAGATCAGCATGGGCTTCAGACGGTTTAGGGAAGTATCTCAGTACGGGAATATTCACCCTACTATACAAAAAAGGGGACCCCACTGATATTAAAAACTATCTACCTATCACGCTACTAACAGTAGCATACAAAATCCTAGCCAAACTTCTAGCAAACAGAATAAGTAAGATCGCCAGAAACTGCTTCCACATAGACCAAACGGGCTTCATCCCGGGCAGATTTATACTAGACAACGTAATGACACTAACCGAATCTGTAAGATATATTAAGGATAAAAAACTAAATGCAGCAACCCTCTTTTTCGACTTTGAGAAAGCTTATGACCAGGTCAATTGGGATTTCCTCCAACAATGCATGGGAAGGATGGGAGTAGGCCCGAACTTTAAAAATTGGGTTAGAATTCTATACAATGATGCACACAGAGCAGTTCAAGTAAATGGTCACATATCCGATCTCTACAAGATGTCTAGATCAGTAAGGCAAGGAGACCCGTTAGCAGCACCTATATTCTTGTTTATCATGGAGGCAATAAGATCCTTCCTTAGGAAAGACCCGTCCATACAAAGACTCATAAACCCGACAAGAGACCTCAACAGAACACACCACATACCTCCCACAATCATGTTTGCAGACGACTTGACTGTACTCATAAGACAATCAAGCTCATCCTTTGAGGCCCTCGCCAGAGCAATGCACGCATATCAACTAGCTTCCGAAATGCGAATCAACTGACAAAAAACAGTAGGATGGTGGTTAACCAATGAAAGTACAGATCTCCCCCACAACATCCCCGACGATATGACTTGGTCAGACCCTAAGGACCCGTTGAAAGTTCTAGGGATCCAAATGACAGAACACGGAGCAGAAACAAACATGAATCCTAGTCTCCTAGCCAAGATGACAAGTAAACTAAACATCTGGGGCAAAATACATACCTCACTATATGGAAGAGCACTAATATTGAACTCATACATTTTCGTCATGATGTGGTATGTAGCAGCCTTTTGGAATCCGGACCAGTCAACGCTGAGAAACCAAAAAACGAAAGCCACAGCCTATCTGTGGACAGGAGATGCATCCAGGCAACATTTCATAACCCAAGTAGCTTGGCAATATGTCACTAGGAAAAAAAGGCAAGGAGGACTGGGAGTCCTGGACCCCACGGCCCAAATAAAAGCCCTACAGACCAAATGGATCCTTAAGCTCATCAATAGACCTACCTTACCCTAGACAGACTTAGCCCTAGACGGGATACAACAACTACCAGTACATAACACCCCATCCAACATGGAAGGCTCCTTCTGGGTAATGAGCAAATCATGGTCAATGAAAGGGGGGAACCAGACCACAACGTACCCAAGAAACGAATCCAGGTTGAAGTTCTGGAAAGGGATCTTTCGAGGCTGGAGAGAGATTTTCCCAGCTAAAGTCAGGAAACCAAACAACAAGGAGGAAAAACTACGACAACCCCTATTTTGCGACCAGTGGATAACAAAAGAAGACGGTAGCCCATTCACACTAACCTCCAAGGACACAAGGTGGGGAGTCTGGCTAGAAAAAGGAATATGGCAGATTAAACACATCTGGGACGACAACACGAAAGAATGGAAACAAGACAAACAACTCAGGCAACAGCTCAAGCACTGCCATCAGCTAAACCAGAACCTACAGGAAATCATAGCAGCCATCCCACAAGAATGGATCCCAACTCTAAAAAAAGATAGACAATGGAACACAGGAGACTGGGTCGTAATAGTAAACGAACCTCAACAGAAACACACACTAGCATATTGGGGCAGAGAAGAAAACAAACAAGACTGGTACATATTTACCATGCACGAAATAGAGGAGCCAGGTTCAGACCACAGCAAGATCAGTAAACACTCAACAGCACAAGTCTCTGTCCATGAGGATAATCTAAGAAAGATAAAGAGTAATAGAAAACGAAGTCCTAACCATCTACCTCCCCCAAACCCCCTTAGAAAACTTAGAAGTAGACCCAGCAGAATGGGCATGGAATCTAAAACAAGGAACATTAGGAATCAACACCAAATTCAACTTACTACAATACACAACCAGTCTAGGCTATAGGTTGAGATGCGGCTCGGCAAACCCAGACCCAATAATCACAGAACGATGGAAAAGACACCTAGAGGTAGAAATAGAACCAGCCGACCCAATACCATGGAACAAAATAGCATCCATTCACCCGCCCAAATTCCAAAGCCTTCAATGGTTAATCATTTATCTAGCAGTCCCCCTGAGCCAATGGTTAAACGTCAGAAGGGAAAAAGAAGACAGAAACCCACTGAAAGAACTGTGTGCTAACTGCAACAACGGCCAAATAGAAAACCTCTTCCATTGTTTTCTCCTATGCCCTAGAATAAAACCACTATGGCAGAAAGCAGCAGGTAATGGAACACGGTAACAGGCACAACCCTCACAACCGACAACACACTTCTACTCCTAGGATTTAATGGCCCAAAAGACTGGAGCCCATTAGAATTCACACTTTTCGGAATTCTTAGAAAAGCCGCACTATGGGCTATATGGAGGAAAAGATGTCAAAAAACTATAGAAAAGTAAAAAATGCACACTGAAGAAGCATGGGGACTACTTCAACAACAAGTAGAAACCGAGTACTGGGTCCTATGGCACAACGTAAGAAGGAAGATGAAGGAAGACGAAGACAAAGACAAGGAGCACCAAAAGAACTTCGAAGAGAATTTACTGGCCAAGGGCAAAATTGCTCTCATCCGAGGCTCAAGCCCAGTTTCCCGATTATGGGAGGAAACCCCACCAAATCCACATTCGCAAGACCACTCACTCAACAGTATCCCTGAATCTCTGGAAGCCAACATACACTCAGAATAGTCTATTGGAGAACACACAACAGATACTACCCTCCAGACCCTAGACTAAACCAACTTGAGAACCCACAGCTAACAGAGACTTCTACATCTCAAACAAGACATAAAACTCAGGACCAACATAGATCCAGGATAGCCAAGTCCTAAGGCAACAGCTAGAACAGCTTGATACAGCTCAATACTAGAAAGAACAGACAAGACATAAAGAAGATAACCAGTATTCAAGTCAGTAAGCAGCAAGTAAACGCGCATAAGAGCGGAGAGGAATGCTTGACGAACCCCAAGGCCCCACCCAGGGCACGGCGCCAAGACAAAAAGGCATAGAAACACACAGATTGGACCCGAACAACAAAACTAGCAACCAAAGAGATCCGACAGCTTAGAAATTGAGAGGAACAGGTAGAACAAGGTCCAAATAGAGAAAACGGCAAACCAGACCGCTAGCCTTAGAACTGGAGTCACATTGGAACAGGCTAACTTAAGCAGGGGTGTGGGTTGGTACATCCCTCCACTGGAAGGTAATCAATGCCGCCCCTTGGGCCTCCACACCCTAAGGGGGACGAGCGTGAGTAAGTGCTGGAACAACACTTTACCCGTTAGACTAGAAACCGGCAGATCACGACAGCATTACAACTGAGGATTTAGGGTCTAGGAGGAAACAAAGCAAGTAGAATTCTAGATTTTTTAGAGATTTCAAGAGGCCCATATGTCTCTCAGAACGCTCTAGCATAACACACCGATCTGACAGCTTCACAGCTGAGAGGAGCAGAACTGGGGAGAGACGGAATGGCAACGGACAGGCAGTATTAGTACAGGCTAACTTACGCAGGGGTGAGAGGGGGTACATCCTTCCTCAGAGAAGTAATCAATGCCGCCCACTCGGGCCTCCCAGCCAGAATGGGGAGGAGCGTGCGTGAGTCTCTCGTGTATTCCATATTGACTTGCCGGGGGAATAGGAACCGGACTGTCGCTCCCCAGAATGGTAGGAGCCAGAACCATGAGGTTCTGTTTAAAAAAAAAAAAAAAAAAAAAAAGAAGGACATGAAATAAGGCTAGATTGTGGTTTTAAGTATGGTGCAGGAGTGTGCTGGAACTTGGCTTGGCGGGCAGTAAATCCCCTCGCACACGAGGGCAATCAATGCTGTTCTGCTTTTCAGAAACTGCTCTGAACTTCTAAGTGGGACACTGGACCCGGTTTCCAGCAGCTGCAGCTCCGTGCCAATAAATTGGAGGCAACTACAAATGGGGAGCCTACTATTGGGGGATGCTCATATCACCTTCAATAGTTGGCCCTGCATGGATGTTGAAACAAAAAAGACGACCCTCTGGATTGCAAGACCACAGATGGTCGAGCGGATCACATACCTTTCCACAGCCATGTTGGTGTAAGAATTGGACATCCCGAAGTTGTACATCAAATATTTGCCGAGATTCATTTCCAGCATTGCTGTTCCTCGGAGCTTCACAAAGTGACAAGCAGATTTCACATGTACACTGTGAATGATGTTCCTTTGGGCAATATTGCACCATTGCAATAGAGACAATGGAGACCTGCAATGAACAGAGTGAACCCAACAATTATCTTAGTTGTTTATTGACACTTTGAGCTACCAGGATGGCTACAAAAAACGTTGAAACGGTTATGGCACCCTGTCCCCTCTGCAGGCACCAACATCACGAAGCAACCCCCCTATTGGCCTTCGAAAACCGCAGGAAGAACTTTCTGGAAACATTGCATCCCTATGTGTCTGACTCCAACTCTGGATACCAGGAACGGAATGCAGCTGGGATCCGGACCTCCCTTTCTGGGCCATTGATGGCTCCATTCATGAATATGAACAGAAATTACAAAGATTTACTATAGGACATGAAGCTTTGCAGAGTTATCCTTTCTACTTCCAACTTGTTCACAGTTTGGAAGAAGAAACAAAATACTTCCTGATTCCTGACTTAGAGCACCACCATATGATGACCAAACGAGAGAAGCTTGATCTGTTCGTCTGTCTAAAAGCAAACTCAGAACTTGAGGGCTTACAATTATGTCCCGAGCACAGGCAAACACTAACTTCTGAGGACTACATAGTACATACATGCTTCTTCGACAACACCACAAACTTTCTTTGAAAACAACGGACATCAACATTTAGGAATGCACGTAGAATGAGTTTACAACTTTACGCGTTTTTCCTGCCTAAGTGTGTGCACCGGAATAGCTTTCAGCAGTGTCTTGCAACTCAAGCTATGCACAGACAAAAGAAAACTCATCCATGCGCACAAGAAAAAAACATCGACAAACCACCTACTTGTTCCTGTGCCGAAAGACGGAACAACAGAGATCCAGAAAGCTTCCTTCCTTAGAAGGAAGTTAGTTTGATATGTCCTGTGTGCATGTCGCTGCAGGGCATAGGATCAAAAATTGCACAATGCGTTACACTTGGTGAGCTGGAGAAAACTTCCCCAGAGTATATACAAAGGAGTGATAGTGGCATTCACATTGCTTCTTCATGTTAAGTCTTGACGAGCTGGGGGTAGTATGACCTGATGGGATTCATTGGAGAGACACTCTAAGCCAACATTCAACCACATTTTTTTAAGTTTATAAAAGGTTCAAACTTCAGACCTTTACTTCCACACTTGCAATCAGCCCCTTCTGACATACAGAGGATGAATTTGAGCCAGCGTCTGGACGACGGGTCGACCCCAAGCGCTGAATTGGAAGTGCCCTCCTCTCCTGATATCCCGGATATCTGAAGTTCGATACCCAGCTATTTATGGTGTTCGCCCTGAAAGATCATTCCACACCACAAAGAGCATGAAATCAGACAATCAGACTTTTTTTAGCTATGGAGTCATGGCAAACGGACGAAATATATCATGATGGATGCCAATCAACTGACAGGCTAACCTAGTGGGTAGTCATTGGGAGCTGTAACAAAGCATACACATGTATTGCAATCAGTCGCGACTCGAGAGTTAGATCCTTATAGGTATGCAGGCAAATATGGCCACATGAGGCTGAGCCCAGTGTTGGGAACTTGGGCAAAAGGATCAACACTGCTGGATAGCTCAGAGGAGGTCTCAGAACCAGGTTAGTGTATGATGTGTTCGAGATGCAAGACCAGAAATGATCAAGCCTGGGACCAGAGATGAGGAAATGAATAACTTAGAATAAGGCTATTATTAGACTAATGAGAGGGAGAAGTTTTAAGGGCCTCAAAAATATCACACGCAACAGGTAGTGACATGCAGAAATCGGAGGCTACAGGGCCCACCAATCAGCATGACACATCACGCACTGCACATGCCATACCATAGAGCACGACATATTTACTATAGGCAAATGGCAAGAAGCACCATCATCGTGCAGCATATAGCATACCGCAAACCATGGCACAATACAAAAGCATTACCGAAGCAGCACACACATGACCAGCATGGCATATAGCACACTAAAACATTTCATGAGCCCACATGCTACGCACACATACGACACACTAGGCATACTGTGCAAAGAATATTGACACATATAGTACAGTACACACGGCAATGGTAGAATGGGAGACAGAATGGGACATAGCATTTCACATAGCATCATGCAAAGATGCCATCCAAATTAACTCACAGATGTCACGGCAATTGTAGTGTGTACTGAACGCACTACAACACAACTAAAACCCCTTTTTTTTCCATAAACATCGTTTACAGGGTGAAACAAAACAACACATCACCGCGATACAGATCGACATCCCATCCGCGATCATTCAAACCTCTGCAATCTACAACAAACACGGTCTCTACTGCTTGAAAACACACCCGATGCACAACCTCATGTTCTAGCAATGTCCATCCATATAGGACACCCTTTGTTAGTTCACTATTCATCTCCCTCTCCTCTAACATCGTTCTGAGTCTCCTCCCCCTGCTCTGCCATTAGGCTGCCCTAGTTCTACTGATGCTTGCACACTCTTTTCCATGCCCTTGACCAATTCCCTCCCACTGCCAGCCCCCACACCTCCTCCACCTCCCCTTCTCGTTTTTCACACCCTTCCCTCCCGCTACATTCACAATAACTTGCATCATTTACAAACAAAATATATACAAAGCTGGTAGTCAGCAGAAGGTGGACTTACAGTCTCTGCAGGCAGGACAGTTCGCCTAGTGCAAAGGAGGATACTGAACACCTTAGCTCCAAACACTTGAAGGACATGTAAACAAGCTGCATTGCAGAGTTGAGCACAACCATGCATGGATCAGTACCAGGGGAGCTCGTCAAGTGAGGCCTGTCTCAGTCACCCACACTCTGTTTCTTTCATTACGATAGCTCCTAGTTAGGTTTCTTCCCTCTCCTGTGTTGACCGTGTTGTAGCATGATGGACACGATGTGGAAAGTTGTGTACTGCTGTGCTCGCTGCTGTGCACGTTGGCATGCAATTTCTTCCTTCCCTGTTCACATCTCCATAGAGTGTTTTTTTTTTTTTTTTTTTTTTTTTTT